ATGGTGTGTGGGTTCTTTCTATTTTTTTAAAGAGAGTCTTGGAATATTTTTCACAAGTGTTATTATCAGCTTGTTTTAGCCTTTTTTCTAGGTATTTTAAAGACTGATTCTATTCTGAATTGGATTTTTTTAACGTTAACATTAAACATTTTTTTGCTAATGTGAAGGGTTGCTATTGATTCTTCTCCACCTGCTGCCAATACCAATCTTTTAGTGATCTCACTTGGCTCTGATATTAATTCAAGTACCATAATGGTAGATTCTCTTGGATTAAATTACCTTGATATTAAACACACAAAAACCCTAATGATATATTTTCTCTTATGTAGAAAAGAGACAGCGGGAGCCTTATTGGCTAGTTTTGTGTTTCTGAGAAAATGATGTTGGGAAAATTATTTTTGAGTGAATTAAAGGTAGTTATATTTTGTAGTTCATTTTCTTGGGGCTTAAACCCAGGTGTGAAGGATGTTAATGGAGTTGCCCATTTGAGGGTCAATGAGAAAAAACAGTCCAGGAGGAAATGGTACAGTGTTACCTTTCTCTTCTTTATAGTTGATGACAAATAACCAGCTATTATATTTAAGTTTTATCTTCCTGGCAAGAAAAAGACTTCTTAGACATGGCTATGCTTTATATGAAAAAATAAGTTGCTTTTAGGAGGGTGATACCAGTTTGAGGAGATGAGCACAGTTGATACAGAGGTGGAGATAAAAGAAGATATTTTGAAGGAAAAACATTTTTCTTGTCCCCCCCCAATGAATTTTAGGAACATAAAATATTGTACAACATAAATTCTTTGCGATATAAAGAAAGTACTGAAGGCAGATTGTTTTGATTTTATGCCATAATGTCCCCTCCCTTAACTTTCAGCATTAGGCTGTCTTAGAACTCAATCCTTAAAACTGAGTTAATGTGGGAACATTTTAAGTTTAAAATACTAAGATCTAAATGGAGTATTTAGTAAAATAGATTAATCTATTCATTATTAACTTTTCAGTTCACACAAAAGATGTTGGACAACTTCTACAATTTCGCTTCGTCATTTGCTATCTCTCAGGCCCAGATGACACCAAGTCCATCAGAAATGTTCATTCCAGCAAATGTGGTTCTGAAATGGTATGGGGCATTTTCTTATCTCTAATATTAAGGATTTTGGTAACCATATATATTTTTGCCCATGAATGTATTTCTTCTTTGACATTTAAACATATTTTTTTGCTGTGGACATCATACATGAACATTTGCATACCATTACAAAGTATGTACAATAGAGTTAGATTAGGAATGGTTCTTACCCTAAATATTCTTATATAGTATCCATTTTGAATTTATAAAGACAGGAAAATACAATTGGTTGTGTTTTAGAAACCACAATTAAGGAGTGTAATTTTTTAAATATTTTGAATTATAAGTACTATGTCTGAAGCTTGAAATACCAAGCAAAACTTTTTATAAGTTTAGAAAGTCTTGGCCTAAAGTAAATATGTACATATGAGGCATCAGGGTGGTTTATACTATATTCTGTACATGAATGATTAATAAATACATTTCCTCAACTTTGCCATGCTTTTTCTGTTTTGTGGGTATTTTTTTTTTTCACTTTGAATATTCCAGTACTGGGGGAATGCCTAGGGAGAATTTACTGAGAAGTGGTAGCATAGTGTAGCATGGATAACACTGAAATGTGTTGGGCTTGAGCTTTGTTATAATGCAGCTATATGATCTTGAACAAATTACTCTCATCTACTTATCTTTGAAATGAGGAAAGAAGAGTTAGATTTTATTTTTTTCCCCTCTTAGATCCCTTCTCATTATCAGATTTACAGAAGATAAACAATAAAATTCATTATGATTTGTGCTCTTTAATATAAGCCAAAGCCAATTATATGTAAATATGTTTTTTTGATTGATTTTGGAGAGAAGAGGAAGGGAGGGGATAGGGTAAAGGAGAGGGAGGGGGAGGGGGAGGGGG